GCATATACGATTAGAACATCCGGACAAGTCAGCCGTAGCTGAACACAGCATCGATCTAGACCACCGTATCCAGTTTCACAAAACCGCCATAATCACCAGTAAGAGCCGTTACCTAGATCGCATAATCCTGGAGGCCGTTGAGATCGAGCTCCATCCTAACAACATGAACAAGGAAACAGGGTTCAGTCTCAACAAGTCATGGAAGCCACTCATCTCTTCCATCAAGAGAAATCCTACAAGCCACCCCAGTTCTTCGTGATGTCATTGACGTCAGTAGCCTGTCCCCAACCAACTGGTTCTTCTTGTCTACCGCACTTCCTAGTGCTATTGACCTCAAGTTTCCTGGATTCACTGGCCGTTTCTCAACCCCCCCTCCCTTAATCAACACACCACCATATTTGGTCTTAATCGCTCCCCACTGCTCCCATTGGTCCGTTCTCCCTAACCACCTCCCCTGCCTACTTCGTATATAAGCAGCACCTTTCACATCCTATCACCACAGCTACTGCTCTCCGCATTCCAAGCCATTCAACTGCTCTGAAGATGGAGGTGCTACGTTCCTCCGAAACGTTGACCAAAACGAATAATACACGGTGCCTAAACCCAGAAGACGACTTTCTTCATTGTCATCGCCATGAAAACCTCAAAACTTACAAAGATTCTGTTTATCTGCAACATACGGTACAGGCTTCAAACTAACAGTTTGTGAGGCTGTTAATTTCTCAAAACACAGTATTCCTCATTACTTTAAGCTGAGACAAGGTAACAGCTATATCACATATGTATTTTTGCAATAAACAATTATTTCATTAGAAACTTATAGTATACACCCTACATGTTTCAGTGATAAAATAAAGATGAATTTTTGTTATGGTAAAAATCATTACATACAGGTTGAAGAGAAAATTCTAGTGTTTAGACAGTGGAAGTAGGAGGGTGGTAATACTGATTGGATCTGAAGACAAAAAGTATATGAAATTGTAAGCTGGACTAAACTGGAAGAAAGTTAGTAACACTGAGTGCATCATAAAGTCCAGAGCTCGATTCTGCAGAACTGTTTGCTTAAAACACATAAGACACAGTATTATCACTTGATGGAGTATGAATATGGATAATGTTTGGATTGGTAATTCGATTCTTGAACTGCAAATCACTCATAACTACAAATAAATATCAGAGGCTCATTGGTTTACACACTTTAACTGCAGCACACATAAAGGCTTCTATGTCTTTACTAGTCATTTCCTGATAACAGATCCTAACATAAACCCGGCGACTTACTTTTAGACCACCAGAATATCTTAACAATGCCAATCAATGTATTTTCTTATATATCATAGGGTGGCACCTATAGAAAACATGTCACTGTTCGTATTGTTGCAGTCTTTGCCTAGCACCGGTTGTTTACTCAGCCATTGCTGGGCAGCAAATGCTTTCTAGCTTGTGATTGGCTAGCAACCTATCCACTGTTGTTGTAGACCTTACATAGCAAAGACTGTTTACTCACCGTTACTAAGCAACAGTACCTGAGCTGTCACTGTAATGTCTCCGGGATGTCGCTGGCAACGCATGCGTTATTGCTTTGCGATGAGTTCACGATTCTCAACACCCTCTGCCTATGTCTTTAACTGACTGGCGAATATCACACAACTGACTCATTGCTCCAATTATCAATTCTCAAAATTCAAAGTCAAAATTAAAGATATTGTATGACTGGTGGTTTACAATCAATCTGTTTGTTTTAGCATCTAAGCCCCTTGAGACTCACAACCAAACACCCCAACTTCAACTGAACACTTGTGGTCATAGTCCTTATGTAATATCCTCTTTGACAGGAAGATGGAGTTGTCTCCTTGGAAAATGGGACAGCCAAAGGCAGTGATTAAATAACTGTGTCAGATGTACCAGTGGTCTTCTTGAAAGATGCCGAAGACATTTATTTGGAAAACCATCAAATCCACAAGCCTATCATAATTCCAATGAATTTACAAATTTATATATACCACAAGGTGTTACTTTTCCAAACAGGGTGTCATCTACAGAGGCAAGCAGAGCTTGGACTGTAGTCTCCACCTGTCATTCATGGTTTCCGTCACACAGGTCATGAGATGTGAACTGGTTTTCTAAACAATATGCAATCATTCTGGTTTTCTCGTTTTGGTCATATGTTATCCCTGAAGGTACATGAACAGTGGTTGGTGCCTTTGGTCCATCCCTTTTATATACGTACATAAATACATTACATTCCACGGATCCAAAGTAAGTCAGAATGACTGTAGGATGTGGAACAAGTCATACAAATACAAAAGCCATAAATACTGTCCAACTGAGATACAACAGAAAAAAAGTACATCCACATATATAAGTCAATACTGTCAACTTATGCTATGTACATAACATTTTAAAAGGACAAGTCGTTTTTAGACAGTAGGAATGCATCAACAGAGTAGAATGAGTGTGTATTTAAGTATTGTTTCACTGCTAATTTAAATCGCACCTTTTCATTCATTAGATTTTTGAGACTAGATGGTAGATTGTTGAAAATTTTAATGCCAGAATAATATGCGTTTTTCTGAAAACATGTCTGGTCTTTCAGATTTCCTTACGGAATTTGTGGTTTTGTCAGTACAATCTACAGACACCAACACAAACCTCCAAATTCATAAGGCCCATAAAGATGTGATTATCAAAGTTAGAAAGTGATATTAATTTGCTCTTGCCTCTCACACATTGTTCATTCAGAACACCTGAGGATGCTAATTAAATTCACAAGCTGCTTAAAATCACAATATGTATAATGCTTTTAAGGACAACACTTTCAAATGGGCATAGATCCTCATTCAATGTGTGTACTACAATGCACTGCTTTCCTGAGTGATGACACTAATGAAGCTGATATTTTATAACACATGGTAGTGTTAAAATGGCTGTCTCTTCAATGAACTGCTCCATATGTAAACAAAGCTAGTGCAAAGCAAATCAATTTATGTTTTGCCAAATGAAATACTTCACATATTTGTAACATATACTGAAAAACTCACACTACAAATTAATTTCTATACATCACAGCAACTTAGCAACCAGCAATTTTAGAACCTTTATGTAAGTACAAACATGTTATATAAATGACAGGTATTCAAGGCAGGTTTGTTCCCACTGGAATATTAGAAATACTGTACTTTCAACTACAACTTGTAAAACCTGCTGGCACCCAAAATATCAAACACTACTAACACAAACACTGAACGTATTTAAAATACATTAAAGAATTTCACTCTTCATCGATAAGAAACTGACTAATGTTTCTGTAATATTCTTGGGATAAACTAGACATTAGTTCCTCTCTTCCTAACCATTTGAATTCCTGAAGTTTCAGTTTATTATGATCCACATATCCTGCAATGTACTGTGCCTTAAAGAAAAACACTTTAGCACCAACTGGACCTTCTTCTTCACGGCTTACAAACATTTTTGGATACTTATACTTATAAACACCACAAGGAGCATTCCCATAAAACTGTACTGTTAAATCATCCCCACACTTTTCTCTCAGTACTCTTTCTGCTGTCTGTAGCATAGTTTCTCCATCCTTTTGCAATCCTTGAGGCAAGGCCCAAATTTTCTGGTCCCATTGTTTTTGTTGAACTAGAAGTAACAAATGTCTGTCTAATTTCCTTTCAAGGTTCTGCAAATCATTTGCTTTATCTGCTTCTGTTATCCTAGATTCAAATACAAATTTGTTGTATTCATCTACTGCGGCATCCTCAAAGTCCTGTGCAGTTTGCTGAAGTGTCTGCTCTATATCCAGGTCCAATGACTTGCTCTTTAAAAGCTCAGCCTGCAAAGTTTCTGTTTCGTACCTCACTTCATGATCACTTTTATGGCTGTTCTCTAACTCAATGTCTGCAAGCATTCTTGAAAACTTTCGTTCAATTTCATTTAACTCCCCGGATAACACCGGCTTCCTTTCCAAACAAACGGCACTCATAAGGTCCCACTTTGTGCGACTAACTTGAGCTGATGTCACAAAGTTAATCGAAAGTCCGTCGAGTGTAACAATTTGTAGGTCACTTTTTATTAATATTTCTGCCTTATATGTTTCGGTTTGATACAACCATCATCAGAGGCACTTGCTATAATTATGGAAACACTGTCGCTTTTTGATGTTCACAATCATGTTTGTCGTGTGGACGCTGCTACGATATGTTGACGTGTAAAAGCACAAAACATGCTAAGATAGTTGTGTACTCACTTTTCATCCGAACCTATTTTTAAGTTAAAACACTAAAATGTTAAAATATTTGATATAAAATGCTGAACTCCTCCTTGTTAATTCATCCCGAAGATGGGAGACGTCAGCTTGAGGTTGTATGGCTTATGGTTTGATGTGTTCCTGTGTGCTGTGTACAATTCAAAATTGAGCTGATGTACTATACAAGCACAATCTAATACTCCTTTGCGCTAAATTCATATCTTAACGTAGGGCTCTCAGTTTCGTTCTACTGTTACAGGTCACTATCCACTAGCCATCAATCGAAAACAGAAATACGACAAAACCACTGCCAACATCCAAAAACACTAATTCGCCATGACACTATTCAATGTTTCAATGTCGCCACTCTTCTTCACATCCATATTAAATTACATTATTACATCGTCACATTCTCTTCCGACACTCTTTAATGATTCAATATCACTCCTCCGTCGGAGGTGTAACAGTTTCATCTCATTAAATATACTTCTCTGACTTAGACACCGTAGCTTGCGTCTTCGGTAAACGTAGAATTCTTACAGTTGGCTATATGATCATCTATGTCATAGAGCCAAGGCCTACAAAACCCACGATGTGGGCGCGGTTCGAGTTGCTTCGATAGCTCAGCCGGCTCAGTCTTTATCTTTCCATAGCCTCCCTTATTTTTTTATTACTCGTGGGGTGTAACTAAGTCCCTTGTTCTGCCGCCACTTCAGGTCTATTGTACCAGCCCGAGATGATAGGTGAGGGTGATTGTGGAGCAATTGGTGGAATGAAGACTGTCAGGGGAAACCGAAGTACTTGGAGAAAACCTGCCCCAGCCCCACTTTGTCCACTGCAAATCACACTTGACCAGACCCGGGATTGAACCCGGGCCGCCTTGGCGGGAAGCCAGCGACTAGTTAGTTAGTTAGTTATTTAGAGAGGGCGCGTTTCCCCACTCACCGCGACCAGTTTGATCTATTGTGCTACCCTCTATGATATTCTTCCAGTCTCTTTACCCTACCGATAAATGGTGCGTGCCATCAGTCCCGCCGAGCAAGCGAGTTCGGCCACTCGCTTAGCGGTGTCTATAAAGCTTCTCCCATCTATCAGAGGCCTTAGAGGCTATTGTTGGACGCGAAACGTCCTGGGATTTGGCTCAGTGATCCCCTTTGGGGATATGAGGTTCTTTTACGTGCCGTAAAGTTACGACACGGGACACACAGTTTAAAGTCCCTCCCGGAGGACTTGTTCCCTGAATTTTTCCGCCCTTAAAAATTCGACGACCTCCGCCGGGTATTTGAACCCGCATACCGCGAGTCATGAGGTGGGAACGTTACCTCTAGGCTATGGAGGCCGCTAAGCCAGCGACTAACCGCTTGAGCTATGGCGCGGCCTCATACCCTCCATTAAATTAGGATGCCCACGTACTGAAGTCACGTATTTTCCTCTTCATCTGAATATGTGGTATTTGCATAGAGCACAGTTAACTCCAATCCATGGAACATAGGTGTCATGGTTCTGATCCGTTAGAAGGAACGCCTTATTTGAAGGAAATACGGCCACCTAACATTTTACCTCTGAACTACTGTCAACAAAAGAAAGGACACAGACCGGCGCAGACCTTCCCCCCAAAGTCTGCCCAGCACCTTCTTCCCTTCTTCCCACAGCATGACTCCTACATTGCTGCAAGGTGCCACTGCCTACAGTCCATACACTTTAGGGTAGGGGAGGGGGCAACCAAATATAAATCATACCATCCATCTTCAGTTTATTCTATTGTGATATCAGCATCAAAGTTGCTGGACAGGTTTTTTTTAGGTCAATATAGGAGGCTCTCAGTAAAAGTTGTTGGGCAATTAGGATTTTTGGCTGTATTGACCATAATAGGTGCAAAGGCTTTTCAAGTATAGCATAAACACCACACACATGCCTGACGAATCAAAATGAATGCCACTGAAATTTTGTTTATTATAATATGGAGTACACCACTTCCAAACATTTGTTCTGAAATCAGACACATCTTGGATGGAAAAGGCTTTTCAGAACTAGGATGACACTTCAGTTCAAAACTAGATATATTCATCAACATCAGTAGAAAAACCCAGGGTAATAATCAACACATAAAGGAATTATAACTGATGTTTGTTAGATTCATTCCACCTATGCCATGTTTGAGAAAGGTGGTTGTGACCATGATTTGTCTCTTTGGCACTATTACGAAATCTTTGTGAAGAAAAGAAGCACTCTGAAACTAAATGGATGGCATCCACCTGCATCTGTGGCCACTTCCTACGTCACTCACCTACAGAAACTATTTGTTTTAGAAAGAAATTCATTCCTTGAGCCATTTGTTAATCAAAATTGATTTTCCTAGAACTGAAAGTGAGGAAGCTGATGTACAATTATCTAGGATAATACATGTGTGTACAAAAGCAGTAAAGAAGTGTAAAGAGATGTAGAATACATATTACCAATGAATTAAATTGAGGTACTACTTGCTGTCACAGAATTCATAGTCCTTTCTTGCTGTCTTCAAACTAGAAACCTGAACATTTAAAATACAGGACTATACTTTACCTGTTGTTTCATACTCATATGTATAGGTATGAAACTTAGTCTCTTACTCTAATGGAAGGACACAGATTTAGAGTGTCTGAGAACAATTTGCTAATGAGAATATCTGGACCGAAGAGAGAGGAAGTAAGAGGAGGGCAAGGAAAATTACTGAATAAAGAGTTAAATAATTTGTGCTCTCCACAAGCTATTATTAGAGCCATAACATCAAGGAGAATAAAAGTGGTGGGATATGTAGCATGCACAGAGGAAATAAAAAATACATGTAGACTGAGATGCAGAAAACTTCATGAGAAGATTGTAAAAAGATAAAACAGTTCTGTAAAGTGCGATTGGTGAAGATTTGTCTTATTTGAATTCTCCATACTCTTACATGTTTCAGTCCTTAGAGACCATCATCAGAAGGACATTGACACAGTTTGGAAACCACTATTACAATAGGTGTTATGAGTGTTAATATATATATATTGTAAAGTGTTTGGAAAAGACACTTCCATATAAGACAACAACAGTGAGCCATTGTGTCGAGAGCATCGAATCTCCACGGTTACAACGAATACATGGAGCGTTCCCACAGAGACAACGCAATAACAGTGGGTCGTTGCATAGGAATCGCAGAATCAACAAAGCAGCGTTTCCATGGTTATAACAGAGGGTTCATTTGCATAGCAGCAGCTGAGTGTATAAAAAGGGGTTGAATGCATTCGCCAGACAGTCTCGGGGCAGATTCCGAGAGATACAGAAGTAAGTCTGGGAATAGCAGCTACAGAAGATATTCGAAATATAGCAGCTGAGATCGGTGGTACAAGAAGTAATTATAACAGTGAAGCAGTGGATAATAATTGTACTTGTAAGTGTATAAGTGAAGTGTCCAATAAAGATTTGCTGAATCCAAGACCCACGTGGAGTTATTTGTCGCGAGACAATATATATACAATGCTGACAATACACGAATGGATAGAAAATCCAAAATTTTCATGACTACAGTGGCTGTCTTCCTACATTAAATTTTTTTAAAAATGTTGTTAGTTACATTTTATTTTATAAAGCAAATAGGTTTGTGTCCTCTCTCTTATCATTTCTCCTGATGGGGGTCGAACTTGTGGTGCCTGTCTCTCTTGAGAAGAAGGTTCTTTGATGTTGTCCTGTGATGGTTCGTTTTGCGCTGTGTTGTTTTTGGTTACAAAACTGTATCGATGTCCCTCTGATGATGGTCTTAAGAATCGAAACATGTAAGGGCATGAAGAATTGAAATAAGAAAAATCTTCACCAGACACACTGGACGGAACTGTTTTATCTTTTTATAGTATTGTTAGTGTGATGGATCAGAATGAAACAAATTAAATTGAAGACCATGATTTATTTAATCCGTCTTGCAGTGCATACACTCATTTATCTCCTTCTCTCCCTCGCACTACATGTTTCGGCATAATAATGCCATCTTCAGGTGCTCACTTATCCACGTCAAACCAGTTCATTGCATGCCATGTTCTCACATTAAAATAACTAAAATATGCATCTATCATATACATTGTCAAATTGAAGAGAAGAAATCGCTTGGGGGATCTGAGAATACACGAGTGTACATTACTGAATTTGTTGTTAATGAAACAGAGTGAGAGGGTGCTAACTGGATAGAACTGGCTCGCGAAAGGGTTCAGTTGCAGGCCTCTGTGAACACAATAATAAACCCTTGATGTTACGCAAAACGCACATAATTTCTTGACTAGCTGAGAGACTATCTGCTTGTTTATCTAGACTCTGCTCATTTGTTTAACAATAATGTCAGCAGTTCAGGTGATTGAGAACTGTAGAATAATTAATGAATGATTAATTTGAAGGGACATGGAAGGAAGTTGATGTAGCCTGTCATTTGCCTGGAGATTGTGAGGGAATCCATGAAATCCTCAGTCACAATAGCCAGGGTCCTGACAAAGGTTTGAAGCACCTTCCAAACACAAGTCAGAAGAATCATTGTGCGAGGTAATTTGTTCAGTCCCTTAGACAGATGTTTCCTTATCTAACATTAATGGGCGATGGGCGCTGGGTAGCGTATTGATTGAGGCACTATGCCACAAGTCGGAAGGTAGCAGGTTCAAATATCGATGTGGTCACTGGATTTTTTTCAAATGACCTAATCTTTCCCACTGCACTATGGCCCTGGGGTTCACTCAGCCTCTAAGAAATTAGTACCAGGAATTAAATAAATAATTTTCCATTGGAGTAAAGCGCGGCTGGCGCATAAGGCTGACAACCTTACCGCCATCTTTGAGCAGATTGTCTAGATAATGTGGGACCCTCAATGGTCCACAACCCTATAGGCCAACATGGCCTTTTACAGGGATAGCTTTACTTTTTTTTTTTACTTTATATTAATGGGCGACTAAACTGAAGAGGGTGAAATGAAAAGATATATACATGCAAAAAAAGAAGAAATGATAGCAAATTTAGGTTTTCAGTTCTGAAGGGAAATCAGTTAGGAAATCTCAGGATAGATGAGAATATGATACTGAGACAGCTTTTGCAAGAAACATATAAACATATTTAGGACAGAATGTAATGGCAGGCATTTGTGAATACAGTCATGGTTATCTGGATTCAATAACAGTGATTTACTTCATCAGCGTAATAAATTTTAGCTTTTCAAAGAAGAGTCTGTACACTGAGTTAGTTCACTGAACAAGACAGGCAGCTGCCTCACCCTTGGTTTTGTTAACAGTTCATTTTGTACAATTTATTTAACAATGCTGCCAATAGCTCTGGCTATAAAGCATCCAATGATATGATGAGCAGTGAACAATGAATTACAAAGAATGTGGAAAGAAGCAATCATTGTGCAATTTGATGTGCTTTCTTGGAATTTCCCTGTAGGGACTGAATAAAGCTATAAAAATCCTCTGTCAGGGTAGCTGGTCTACAGGCTGATGTTTGAATGTGGAATGCCTCCAGATATGAAGTCTGAATGCTACCTGCTTGATCATTACATCTTGTGAATACTTTTTCAACTGTATACACTATCCAGAGTCAAATGGAAAAATGAGAGGGAATCAAGGATGGAAATGATTTTTCAGAACTAGGTAGATGCTCCAGATCAGTAGAAAGACCCAGAGAAATTACCAAGACATATTAAAAGGAAATTATTACAATGCAGGCTTGTGAGTTTCTTTCTACTTATATCATTGTTATACAGTTGTACAGTTGTGACATCTTAGGGCATGTGAAACAGATTCCTTGAAGTTAAACATTCTGAACTAAGTAGATGGCATCTATACATGTCAACCACCATTTTAAGCCCTTGTACGACTGATGAGCTGTGCAGTGATATGAAGATAAGTAATTGATACTTATTAGAAGGTATTATACTGGAATTTTCTTGGATGGACAAGGAAATCCATGAAAGAACTTCAGCAAGGATCATCAGCAGAAATTCAAACCCAGTTTCCCTGTGTATGAAATATGATGTTTGATGAAGATTAACAAAATGACCCCCTATATTGTCTGAGTTCTACTTTGTAATATAAACAAAAATTAATACATTTTGGAATGTAGGTAGTTGACAAGTTAAATTTTTCACTGTACAGCATTTACAAATGTGCGAAATGGACTCATCTTTGATAACATTGCACTGAACCTAAGAATTTAATTCGTTTTCACAAAAACACTTGCTTTTACATCAAACCCTCCAACAATCTTCCCTTTTTTATTTATCTTTTTCTTATGTCAATATTGCATAAAGTATCCACACTTAATTTTTCTCTACATTCACGGAGAAGTTTAGTCACTGTCAGTAAGTATTGTTGGCACATAATAATATGTAATACATTATTACCACTGAGAGACTGAATACAGCACACAGTTTGGTGGGAGCAGATGTCGAGCAGAATGTCCAAATGTCACAAATATTGTACACTTTGAAAACACTGGTGATATGACTGAAACAGAAAACAGAATTTTTACCATATGTGCTACAATGACATGACCCTGATCCAACATAAAATAGGTGGCTATCTTGAAACATTAAGAGTATGGTTTTCATGGCTGTACCACAATATTGTTTGGCAAGTAGATATCAATGAACCTGGTGTCTTCACCTTTCTAACAAACTACACCGTGCGATACCCCAGAAGGATGCAATATTAATACTCACTGCATTGAAAGCAACAGATCTCGTATGTTGAGATAGGAATAACTTTGTTACCTGATAGATCTTTCAGTTCATGTCTACAATTCTCATATTTTGTACTTCTGTTGCCTGTAGTTAAACAACTTGAATAGGATATCCAGGTAAGAAATTAAAGTAATAGTAGTAATGATGTTCAGCTCAAAGAAAAATACTTCATTCCAATTCAGTTCTCAGAATACATAGAGCAGAAATGTTATTCTAGCTCAGTAAATTATATTGAGGGAACCACCACATACTAACATGCAGCTTCGTCTGTCCAACAGATAGCATTCAACTTCTGCTCAAGCCAAGTCAACGGCACATTGCGGCCAGCACTCTTACTTATACAGCACTCACTGTCCAGCCCACCTTCGCATCATCGCTAGCCAATCAGTGAACACAATCGCAACTGCAAGTTTCTCTCTTCCCATTAAGCAAGGTATAAAAGGCGGAGCGGAAAGCTCGCAATATTCAGTGATAGGATATGTGATCAAGTGGGATTTACATTCGGAGGTTCATCGACTGATTGTTCAACTATTGGTGTTGTTCTATCAGTGTAAAGGAGTTATTTGCTGGTAGTTGTGTGCGCTGTTACAGATCGGCTCTGAAATTTTGCAGTCCTTTTTGTAAAAATTCTTAGATTTTGCTTGAGGCTTGGGCGCCTCGGTGCCTGGCTACCATGCATTCTGGGCACAAAGAAGAGCCTCACTACAGGCAGAATATAAGGAAAACGTGAAACAATATCCTGAAGCAGATGAACATTACAGGAGACTGTACAAAATCATTTGTGACGTTGAGGATGTGGCCAGCTTCACACGCGCCACAACTGGGGAAAGTGTCGAGTGGGCGGTAATAGTAAATGCCACTGAAGAAAACAGAGAGAGCTATCGCAAGGCTCTCAATGGCAAGATTTTGTTCAGTGCTCTGTATGGGACCTATACAGTTACACTGAAAGATGTGAAGTCCCTAATGAAAGCCAGAACCTCGGAGACAACGAAAACTCCGACGAAGCCCTCCCAAGAAGACTTTAAAGAAGTCCGAAGGCGAAAACGGCAGAACACAACCGAGTCCACCCAGACTTCAAAGAAGGCAGCGACTGCCGCAGAAAACACCCAGATGAAAGAGGTGCCAACGCGTAACTACTTTGCTCCTCTCAGGGTGACATCGATGGACACCGACACTGCTGGAGATGGAGCCACTGCGCTGGAAGAGGGAGCCACTACGCTGGAGGTGGAATCATCAGGTAAAGCAGGCAGGCCGCCCCCAATAATTGTAACGTCCACAGTGAACCTCATCCATTTGCAAAAGTAACTAAAAAATGTGGTCAAAGATGACTTTGAGTTCTGTAATATCAAAAGCGGAACCAGAGTCATCACTAAAAGCATGGCGGATTTCGAAACCACCAAGAATCATCTATCCCTATATAAACTTTCCTATTATACCTTCTTTCCCAAGTCAGAACAACCCATTAAGGCTGTAATCCATCACCTTCCTCTCAATACGCCAGCAGAGGATATTTCTGATGGATTGGTGACCCTGGGATTTTATGTGGTTAGCGTCAAACAAATGACAACCACCCGAGGGTCGCCTTCAGAAGAAAGGATAACCAGAAACCTTCCCCTCTTCCTTATCACCCTACCCAGGACAGCAAAATCACAAGAAATCTTCAGACTACAAAGCCTTTGCCACATTTCCATCTGTGTTGAGGCATACAGAACACACAGTGGCCTTATACAGTGTCACAACTGCCAACAATGTGGCCACGTCTGGGCTAATTGCAAACAACCTCCCCGTTGCATGTGGTGTGAGGGTGGCCACCTGCGCAAAAAGTGCCCTGAGAAACAGAACGCTGCCTCCAATCCAATCCACTGCACTGAAACTGTAAATTGAAGAATGGAGAGAAACTGCATCCCGCAAACTACCGGAACAGCGGACACGCGAAGGAGGAACTACAGAAGAAGAAATTGCAGAGAGCACCCAAAACCACAACGGGAAGGGTGTTCTCATTCAATATCGTTACCCCAGGATTCTCTTTCGCGGCGGGGCTCCGAGGCAACACATCACAGGATCAGCGGTCTCAGACTCACCAAACACCAGGCGCAGTTCAACCAGCAGCCACGATACCGAGAGTCCCGGTTCCTGTACAGGAACACCACACAGGTCAGTCAGTTCAGGCTCCTCATGTGAACAGACAGTCTCTCGACAATATGTTGAGAGTAGTCACTGTAGTACAACAAATTATGACAGAGATCAGTGGTGCAGTGTCCAAGGAGGCAAAAATAATAGCCATTACAAAAATTGTTCTAAATCTTATGAAACAAAAAGGCCACTAGAGTTTATAGACCCCTCAAGGTCATAGCATTTAATGCGAACGGTATTGGGAGGCAGCGTTATGAGCTCAGTAAACAGCTGCAAGACCTAGCGTAGATGTGACCCTGTTTTCAGAGACGCATCTGAAATCTCATGAGAGATTCTTTCTTCCAAATTACCACATTTATAGCATCGACGGCCACCCGGGCAGGAAAGGCGGAACTGCCGCTGCAGATAGAAAAGGCATTCCCCATAGCCATATAGACCTACCACCCCTTATTTCAGTAGAAGCGACAGGGGTCTGCATACCAACTGGTAAGAGTGAAGTGCTGCTTGAAGCTGTTTATAAATCTCCAGGCAGAGCCTGGAGTAATGCTGACATCACAGAGTTCTTAAGCATTAGATGTAAGTCTATCTTGGCAGGTGATTTGAATGCTAAGTACCCATTGTGATATAGCAGAGTTTGAAACCCCTCAGGCTTGAAACTCGTGGATTTATTTGATATTAGTGATTTCGAAATCTCAGCACCACAGTGCCCCACTCACTATTCCCCTACGGGAAATGGTGACGTGTTGGATATTGTGGTCCACAAAAATATCAAAATATCAGATGTCATCGGCTCCGATCTTTTGGATTCAGATCACCTACCAATAGTATTCCACATACTGGATCATGTTAAAATTAGGAACCTTTCGGAACCTATTGAAAAATTAACAGATTGGGAGCGGTTCCAGAGCATCGCCTCTGAGTTAATATCACCTAAAATAGAAATTAAGTCTGGGGTAGAAGCCGATAAAGCGGCGCGCGACTTTGCAGCCTCTATTGCTTCGGCATATAGGTTGTCCACAAGAAAAGTTACACTTTCGGACATAAACAACTTTCTTCCTGGTCTTGATCGCCTGTTAAAACATAAGCAGAGGCTACGAAAATTGTGGTAAGAAAACAGGGATCCAGCGTGTAAGACGGCACTAAATTGGGTCACAAAATCAATCAGGCGAATGACTCGAAAAAAAGGCACTTGAACGGTGGGAAACAAAAATAGGTAACGCTGAAGTCACACCTCAGGGTATATGGTCATTTGCGAAATCTCTCCTAAAGAGAGATGGGCCAATGGAACCAACAGCTATTCATGGTGCTGCAGGCCTTAAATTTCACCCATTCGAAAAAGCCAACGCAATTATTGGTTGTTTGGAAATTCAGTTCACGCCACACTATCTGTGCGACGATAACCATGAACGGCGTATGGAGGCTGGAGTTCAAGCTCTGCTCGAAACCGTAAACGACAAAACCATCTGAAAGGATCAGATCATGTGACGTACAAAAATTGATAAATTCCTTAAATTGAGAGAGGCCTGTGGAATTGACGGCATCACAAATGAATGCCTGAGGCAAATTCCAAGGCGACCATTGGTCCACCAAACTCATTCATTTAATCATTGTCTTCGGCTCTCTCATTTTCCAAATACTTGGAAGGAAGCAAAAGTAATAATTTTACCTAAACCCAGTAAAGACCCGAAATTCCCGCAAATTTTACGTCCGATCATCCTACTGTCCACGACAGGAAAACTATTCGAAAAAGTAATCTTGAAATTACTAGAAAAATATATTGAAGAAACAGGACTGTTCAACGCAAGCCAGTTTGGTTTTCGTGCACGTCACTGCACGACATTGCAATGTATGAGACTGGCGGACCACGTGACCCTTAATTTCAACAATAAAATGTCTACGGCCGCGGTGTTCTTGGACATCGGAAAAGCCTTCGATACCACGTGGCACTCAGGCTTGCTGTATAAGTTATCAAAATTGGAATTCTCTAACTCTTTGACCAAGCTTATTGGGTTCTTTCTTTCTAAACGTAAATTCAGGGTCTCGGTTGAAGGCGAAATGTCAACGCCAAGGGAAATGCAAGCAGGGGTGCCACAAGGATCAGTTCTTTCTCCTACCCTTTCAACTTGTACATAAATGATGTTCCCCAAACTCATGGTGTTCACCTGGCCCTCTTTGCGGACGACAGCTGTCTGTATGCGACAGATCGGAAGGAGCGTTTCATTGTTAGAAAAATCCAGCGCGGTCTCAGCTCAATGGAGACCTGGTGTGAGCGCTAGAATATAAAAATTAATGAAGATAAGACTCAGGGGATCTTCTTCTCACGTAGTCGTCGAACGCCTGAGTTGTCTCACCCTAAATGGACGAAAATATCTAGGTGTAAACTTCGATAAGAGAGTTACATGGAGATTACACATAGAAATGACAGAAAGCCAAAGCCTTCATAACATTCATTAGAGTGTATTCCCTATTCAAAAGAAGCGATTGAGCGCTAACATTAAAATGATCCTCCACAAAGCTCTTATTACATCCGTAATGACTTATGCTAGTCCCGCCTGGGAGTTTGCGGCAGACACTCATCTAATGAAATTGCAGCGCCTGCAAAACAAGTTTGTCCGCAACATTGGCTATTTT